TATATATATATATATATATATGCGCGCTAAGTGGAGCCTGATCTCTCAATTCACAAATCGGAAATTGTTCCTGCCTCCTACACTGTTTTCGCAAATCGAAGCATCCCGTTGGTTTTCCCTTTGTTTTTTAGGAAATGAAAAAAAGAATCCCGCTTCTTCTTGATGAGGGTCCCGCCATCCTTCAAAGTGTGCAGAAGAAAAGTTGGAACCTTCTTCTTGCGTGACTCCTTCCTTCAGCCGAATAAAAGCAGTAGAAAAATTGAATCGCAACTTTTTTTGTTGTGGCAGTGGAACTCCAGGCATCGCAAAACATTGCATGTGTCGCTCACTCCAAGGCATCTTTTTTGGTTGTGGCCTAAAGTGGAGAGAGAGGAGAGGGACAGAGGGAAAGGGAGAGAGAGAGAGAGAGAGATAAAGTTTTTTCTTGTAATCTTCGAAGCGATCGACGAGTGTAATCCTCAAAGCAATAAAATTCTCTGCAACTCTATATACGTAGGCAGTTTGTTGAACCATGTAAATCTGCGTCTGTTTATTGTGTTGCAATTTTCTTTTTCCCATTTTTTACTTTCTCACAATCGTTTTCACAACAATTGGTATCAAAGTCAAGGTTCAGGTCTAAGGAAAAACGATAGCTGAAGATGAAATGATGGCATCAGGAATCAACAACTAAAGATGAAGTGATGGCATCAGGAATCGAGAAATTTGATGGCACAGATATTGATTATTGGAGGATGCAGATATAGAATTACCTCTATGAGAAAAAAAACTTAATCTTCTGTTACTGGGAAAACGACCAAATAAGATGGCTGAAGTTGATTGAAATCTGTTGGATCGACGGGCTCTGGGGGTCGTTTGATTAACCCCGTCGAGATCTGTTGCCACAACGTCATCAAGGAAAGGACTACTGCATATCTCATAGCAGCTTTATCAGGTATGTATGATAAGTCATTGGTGAATAACAAGGTGCATTATATGAAAAAATTATTCAACTTAAAGATGACGGAAGGTGTGTTTATTGCTCAACATCTAAATGATTTCAATATCATCACAAATCAATTGTCATTTGTTGAAATTGATTTTGACGATGAGATATGTGTTATGATATTGCTGACTTCATTATCAAATAGTTGGGAAGTCATGAGAATGGCAGTTAACAATTCTAAAGGTAAATCTAACTTGAAATATGATGATATTCGTGATTTGATTTTGGCTGAGAAAGTGCACAGAAAAAACTCTGGCAAGATCTCAAGTTCAAGTTCAACACTGAATGTTGATTCTTGAGAAAGAACCCCAGACAATAACTCAAATAGAGGAAGACTAAAATCAAACTACAGAGGTAAGAGTAAGTGAGGGTCTGGTCAGAAAACACCTTGTTGGAATTGTGGCAAAATTGGTCACATAAAGAAGAATCGCAAGAACCCAAGATGGTAATGTTTAATGATCTACCAGAGGTCGCAGTGCAGAGTAGTGATGGAAATGATGAAAAGAGTAGGTCTGAGGCACCCATTCCTATTGTTCCGCAGACACTTTCAGAGTCTTCCACCCCTACAACTACAGTTTGCATAGTCGGGAATAGACGTTCTCATCAACATTAATCACCGACCTTGAACTAAATTTTGTTGACACTTTCAGAGTCGTCCACCCCTACAGCTACACAAAGTTATAAAGAAACTTTGCAAAATGAAAATTTTAGCAAGTGAGAGCTGGTCATAAAATAGGAGATTAATTTTCTGCTAGAGAATCGGACTTGGGAGTTGACAAAACTTCCACCAGGGAAGAAGGCATTGTACAATAAGTGGGTGTACCGGGTAAAGACTGAGCATGATGACAGCAGGAGGTAAAAGGCTAGACTTGTTGTAAGGCTTCCAGCAGAAGCAGAGCATTGATTACTTAGAGATTTTTTCTCCTGTGTTGAAGCTCACAACCATCAGAATGGTATTGTCTATGATGGCTACAGAAGATCTCTTCCTTGAGCAGTTAGATGTGAAGACAGTTTTTCTTCATGGAGATCTTGAAGAATACATCTACATGCACCGGCCTGAGGGGTTCGTGGTAAAGGGAAAGAAATATTCAGTTTGCAGACTGAAAAATAGCTTGTATTGCCTGAAGCATGTTCCTAGACAATTGTATAAGAAATTTGATAATTTCATGCACAATGCAAGGTACAGCAAATGTCAAGCATATCACTGTTGTTATGTCAGATACTTTGATAATTCATATATCATCCTATTACAGTATGTGGATGATATGCTTATTGATGAAATCAATAATCTGAAGAGGCAAATGTCAGAGCACTTTGCAATGAAGGATTTGAGAGCTACAAAGCAAATCCTTGACATGAGGATTGTCAGAGACAGAGTCAGAGGCACGTTGAGATTTTCTCAGATTGAGTGTGTGAAAAAGGCACTTAGCAGGTTCAATATGGATAAGGTCAAACCAGTTTACACACCTTTGAGCAGTTACTTCAAACTCAGCAAAAATCAGTCACCTAAGTCAGAGAATGAACGAGATCACATGAGTAAGGATCTTTATGCTTCAGCTATTGGTTCACTTATGTATGTTATGATTTGCACCAGACTGGATATTGTCATATAGTGGAAGTTGTTAGCAGATACATGAGTAATCCAGGGAATGAATATTGGGAAGTTGTGAAGTGGATCTTGAGATACCTAAGAGACTGTTCAAAAACTTGCCTGTGTTTTTCAAAAAAGGGTTCAGAGGTACAGGGCTATGTTAATGTTAATCTAGCTGGAGACATTGATACCAAGAGTACTACAGGGTATATTTACACTCTTGGTGGCAATGCAATATCATGGGGTTCTAATCTGCAAAAGACAGTTTCTTTGTCTACTACAGAAGCTAAGTATATAGCAGTCTCAAATGCTGCAAAGTAAATGATATGACTACAAAGCTTTTTGGAAGAATTGGGCAAGAAGAATCAGAAGGGCATTCTCTACAGTGACAGTCAGAGCGCCATATTCCTTACCAGCAATCCAACATTTCAGTCCAGGTACACTCACATTCAAATCAGGTATCACTTCATACGGTCATTGTTAGATGACCGACAGTTGTTGCTTGGAAAAATTTGTGAAAACAAGAATCCTGTTGATATGTTGACTAAGGGTGTTACACTTGAGAAGTTGAAGCTCTGCACAAATTCAATTAGTTTTCAAGCTTGAAGACAGGGATCTTGGGTTGCAGAGGTAGAGGATATCAGTTTGAGGAAGAAGACGATGCAACCAGTGTACCAGTCTCCAAGTAAGAGATTTGTTAAGTGGAGTCAGGTCTCTAAATCCGCGAATCGGGAAATTGTTCCCGCCTCTTCCACTATTTTCGCGAATCAAAGCATCCCACTGGTTTTCCCGCTTCTTCTTGATGAGGGTCCCACCATCCTTCAAAGTGTGCAGAAAAGAAAGTTGGATTTTAAAAAAAAGAACTTCCTCAATCAAATATATACAAAACCTTCTTTTCGCGTGACTCCTTCCTTCAGCCAAACATAAGCAGCAGAAAAATTGAATCGCAACTTTTTTCTTGTGGCGGTGAAACTCTAGGCATCCCATGTTTCGTTCTCTTCAAGGCATCTTCTTCGGCAGTGGCTTACGATGAAGAGAGAGGAGAGACAGAGGGAGAGGAAGAGAGAGACAGAGTTTTTTCTTGTAATCATCGAAGCAATCGACAAGTGTAATTCTCAAAACAATAAAATCCTCTGTAACTCTGTGGACGTAGGCAATTTGCCGAACCGCGTAAATATGAGTGTTTGCTTATTGTATATAAGCGTATATATAAGCATGCTCGTAATTGCATGTGACTAAACTCTGGCTATAGTTTTTCAACAGTTAGTGAAGTAAAACACAAACCAATAAAGACAGTGCTTAATATGTAAAATATTTTTGATAAAAAAAACATAAAAGAAAGTAAAACTTAATTTTTTTATATTTATACCATCCAAAATTTTCATATAAAATCGAAAATATCACTATTTTGATTTTTAAAAATATAACTTTTAAAAGGTGAAGTACACCTTTCAATGCATAGATAAGGTGGAAAATATGTAAAAGTGAAGTACACCTTTCAATGCATAGATAAGGTGGAAAATATGTAAAAATTAAAGTTCAAGTGTTAGATATGTAAATACATATGAATTATGTATGTATATATCCCAAAAAAGAAGCATGAATTCAACATCTTATTAACAGCGGAAAATTACATGGCCACGGAATTGTATGATTGAAGAGATGGTTAAAAACTGAAATGACTCAAGAAAACAAAGTAATTTGAAGTACGATGACAACATGTTAAGCACTAGATTTGTCTTTTAATAGTTCGAACAAATCTGACTGGCATAAAACAACTATTTTACTTTATAGTTCATACTAAGAGAAAGGAAAAATGTAAATATCATATACATGAAGCACCATAAGTAGCTTAAGCCCAGAATAACATATCATCTTCACATTTTTAAGTCATAAAAAACCATCTTCAACCTAAACATTAAAATGCTGAAATAAGAAAAAAATTACTGTAGAGAATCTAAAAGGGTACCTATGAACCAATGACGGCACACACTCATGATGCAGAAAACAGAGAGCCTCTGCTGTCCCTGTTGCTATCTTCAACCTTGTTATCCAGTCCAGGGACTGTAAACCATCCTCCCCTGGTGAGGGTTTTCTATAAAGTGCGCTAGACAAGTCACGATGAGGCATTTGCCTGTAAACAAGAAACTTCTCATTCTCATTATCCGAGCAATGACCGACAAAAGGAACCAACCTTTCATGTGAAAATCTAGCAAAAAAATCCAATTCCACCATATAAGAATCCTTCTTAACTTTGCTCATGTTTATCCTCTTAACAATCACATGCATCCCATTATCCAACACTCCATGGTAGATATCTCCTGATTTCCCATGCTTGATTAGATTTCCCTCGCCAAAATTTGAGGTTGCCAGTGTCAATTGTTCAAATGAGAAGGCCGCACCCGCAACTGGCAAATTGACAGCAACTGCAGGATGTGCGGCAGAGCCTCCTCCAAGGGCAGATGAAGCAGCACTCAGATTGGCATCCCTCCTCTCAGATGAATGTTTACTGCACCATCTAAAACACAGCACGATAGATATTATCAGAAACACAAGGAGAGCAGTCCCGCCAACAATCGCAATGACAATAAACTTCCAGGCGTTGTTGTTCTTGGATGAGTTGGAGCTGAGGCTAGCAGCTGGAGGTGCATTTTCATTCACAATATCATCATAGGGTATCCCTCTTTCCTCATAAAACTTCTCGCATAGAGCATGGGTTCTCTGGCTCGAAGCATTCTGAAAGCAGTTCGATTTGAAAGATAAAATCCTGCCGGTACGATAATGAGGCACCAAACCACGAAAATAGTTATCTGATATGTCCGCATAGCTAAGCCTGGAAAGCAGGGCTGCAAACCCTGAGGAGATCGAACCATACAAAATATTATGTGAAAGATTAATTGAACCACCAATTGAATTGTGATTGGCGTTGGTCGGAGAGAGATCCGGCAGGCTGCCTGTGAAGTTGTTGTAGGAAACATCAAGGAATCGCAATTTTGAGAGCGACCATAGTGAGTCCGGTAGCTTGCCGGAGAAGTTATTTCGGCTCAATGTGATCGACTCAAGCAATGACAAATCGGAGAAGAAACTTGATCCTAGAAATCCACTAAGGAAGTTGCCCCCCAAGTTCAGATGTTGCAAACTCCTAAGATTACGCAACTCATCACGCAAAGTACCGAACAGCGAATTGAAGCTGAGATCGAGTGTAACGAGGGAAGAGACGTTCCCGAGCTCCGGAGGAATGGAGCCAGTGAAGCTGTTATTAGAAAGAATCAAGGTTTCCAACTTCGACAAATCTCCGATCTCCGATAGTACTGCGCCGGTGAGAAAGTTGGAAGAGAGGTCAAGGTAAGTGACGTTGCCAATGCCAGTAAGCTCGGAAGGCAAATCGCCGGAGAGCAAGTTCCGGGAGAGATCGAGAAATGAGAGATTTGTCAACTTGCCTAGTGTGGGAGGGATACTGCCAGTAACCGAGTTTTCCGCGAGGGAGAGCACCTTGAGACCAGTGGCCCCGCCTAGAGAGTATGGTATCTCCCCGTAAATAGACGTCCGACGAAGGTCGAGTACGGCAAGCGATGGCGGTAGGTGGCTGCCGAACCAGTCCGGAATAAAGCCAAGAAGTGTGAATCCAGTAGCGTTAAAGGAAGACAACCGAGTGAGATTCTGAATCCCTTCGACTGCGAATCGAGGGTTCAGGCGACCGAGTCGAGTCCGCCGGAGCCCGTGTATGTCGAGCGACACAACTCGCCCGCCGGCATCACAGCCAACGCCGGCCCATGACGAGCACGGGTCGACTCTCCGAGGCCAGTCGCGTGCGCGCAAACCCAGCGAGGCGCGGAGGCTGTACAGCGCAGCAAAATCCACGGCAGAGCTGAGGTTTTTTCCGGCGGCAAAGGGGAGGAATCCGGCGGCGATGAAGAGGAGTAAGAAGCGATGGCGGAGGAGTGTTACCATCGGTTGATCTGACTCAGCGCCGCCGTTATCGAAGCGCTACCGGCATTGCCGGTGGCCAGCTTTTATAGTTCGAAGAGCAGGAAATAAAGGCGGCATAGTATCTCTGCTCCCGAAGAGAGAGACAAAGCAGCGAGTTTCGAAAGGTTGGTATTAATGAGCAGAAGGAAGCCCCCAACTGCCCAATATTAAGTGAGAAATTCCCATTTACCTATTATATTTGATGATATTATGATAATATTATTATCAGATTTGAATATGTCTGATAGATCATGCCTAAAAGATAGAGCATTAGGATCTAGAAAATTAGATAGAGAGAAGAAAACTTACCCCCCTTGGTAGTGAAATGAGGTGTTTATGGGTTTGTGGACCAATTTTATTGCAGAAAATTTGAGATTACAAGTGGGAGGAGCCTAAAAAGCCCCTTTATATGAAACATCCTTCTATTTATGGTTGATAGACGGGCTGAAAATTAAATTATAATATTACTCTTTAAAATGGCGGTACTTGATATTTTAGTCATTTGTATTGTTATGTTCTGCTAAAAAATCATTCGTTTGTTTCATTTGTCAAGGGGAAAAGTCCCTCGTTTGATTCCTCTGTCAGCGGAAATGTCCTTATTTGATTCCTCTGTCAGGGAAAGAAGTCTTCTGTCATAGTGAAACGTCGGTCGAGGGTAGCAAATTTGGCGGGAGCAGAATTCAGATTACCTCAAAATCCATGCATACCATTTTTTAGTATACATATTGTGTTCTTAATTCTTTTGCTCCTTAATAGCGACAATTGCGATAAGAATAGAGGAAATTTACAAATCTTCAACATGTTGTTTGCTAATGATACTCTCTGTTATGCACTTTTTTCTCTCAATTTTGACATTTTTATTGCATCTTATCGTTCTATTTATCATTATGGAGATTTTCTGTTGGATGAGTTGTCGAATTCAAGTGGCCCATTGGAGGGAAAAAACCTCCGTCAATATCCTCCATTGGGAGGGATACATCCTCCGTTGGTATCCTCCATTCGAAGGGAAATGCCCTTCGTTTGTATCTTTCATGAGAGTGAAATGTCAACTGAGTATAACCAATTTTACAAGGTTCGTTGTTCGTTTGTCAGTCCTATGGATGAGTTCAAGAATCGCTCGCTTTTGACGTGGAATCTTATAGTTGTTTTACCTCAGAGTGGAGTCCTAGAGTTGTTTGCCTTCAAATGGAGTTTTGGAACTGTTCGGTTCGGATTGGAGTCCTGGAGTTGTTTGCCCCAGAGTGACGTTCTAGAACTGCTCACCCCGGAGTAGGATTCTGGAGCTGTTTGGTGTTGGAATTTTCTTGCAACTCTTATGGAGTTTGTCGTTGTCGATTGTTAGAATTTTAATTTTTTTCACCTCTCGCGAAACTTATCTTCGCCAAGGGTTAAAATTTTCTTACACTCCTCGCGGAGCTTGTCGGTTGGTGGGGGTTAGGATTTTCTTACACCCCTCATAAAGCTTGTCCCTCTCGGGTGTTAGAACTTTTTGCACCACTTGCGGAGTTTGTCGCTTCCGAGTGTTATAATTTTTTGCACCCCTCATCGACAACCACTTGTCGAGTCCTCCGTTGAGAAGAAAAGTCCCTTCTTTGATTCCTTCGTTAGAGTTCTCATCAGAGTGAAATGTTGGCCGAGGATAGTTAATTTGACGCACTAAAATACCTCAAAATCTGTGCATATTATTTTTGAACATACAATTATGGTAATATTTAACATAATATTAAATACGACTTGTGAAATTTATAATTGCTGATTGAAGATTTTTAGTGATATAATTATTATCAATTAATACTAAATTCACATTTATTCGCCCCGATCTAATTCTCATTTAATAATTTTTCTAAAAACAGAGCTTCCCACTTCACTGAGCTGGAATTCCATGAAGGACCAATTTTATTGCAGAAAATTTGAGATTACAAGCGGGAGGAGCCTAAAAAGGCCCTTTATATGAAATCATCATTCTATTTATGGTTGATAGACGGGTTGAAAATTAAATTATAATATTACTCTTTAAAATGGGGGTACTTGATATTTTAGTCATTTGTATTGTTATGTTCTGCTAAAAAATCATTTGTTTGTTTCAAATGTCAAGAGGAAAAGTCCCTCGTTTGATTCCTCCGTCGGTGGAAATGTCCTTATTTGATTCCTCCGTCGGTGGAAATGTCTTTATTTGATTCCTCCGTCGGTGGAAAGAAGTTTTCTATCAGAGTGAAACGTCGGTCGAGGATAGCGAATTTGGCGGGAGCAGAATTCAAATTACCTCAAAATCCATGCAGACCATTTTTTATTATACATATTGTGTTCTTAATTCTCTTGCTCCTTAATAGCGACAGTTGCGATAAGGATAGAGGAAATTTACAAATCTTCAACACGTTGTTTGCTAATGATACTCTCTGTTATGCATTTTTTCTCTCAGTTCTGGCATTTTTATTGTCATCTTATCATTCTATTTATCATTGTGGAGATTTTTTGTTGGATTAGTTGTCGAATTCAAGTGGCCCTTTGGAGGGAAAAAACCTCCGTCAATATCCTCCATTGGGAGGTATACGTCCTTCGTCGGTATCCTCCATTTGAAGGGAAATGCCCTTCATATGTATCTTTCATGAGAGTGAAATGTCAGCTGAGTATAACCAATTCTACAAAGTTCTTTGTTCGTTTGCCAGTCCTATGGATGAGTTCAATAATCGCTCGCTTTTGACGTGGAATCTTATAGTTGTTTTACCTCAGAGTTGAGTCCTAGAGTTGTTTGCCTTCGAATGGAGTTTTGGAGCTGTTCGGTTCGGAGTGGAGTCTTGGAGTTGTTTGCCCCGAAGCGACGTTCTGAAACTGCTCACCCCGGAGTAGGGTCCTGGAGCTGTTTGGTGTTGGAATTTTCTTGCAACTCTTATGAAGCTTATCGTTGTCGGTTGTTAGAATTTTAATTTTTTGCACTTCTCGCGGAACTTATCTTCGCAAATTTTCTTACTCTCCTCGCGGAGCTTGTCGTTGGTGGGGGTTAGGATTTTCTTACACCCCTCATAGAGCTTGTCCCTATCGGGTGTTAGAATTTTTTGCACAACTTGCGGAGTTTGTCGCTTACAGGTGTTATAATTTTTTGCACCCCTCATTGACAACCACTTGTCGGGTTCTCCGTTGAGAAGAAAAATCCCTTCTCTGATTCCTCCGTTAGAGTCCTCCGTCGGAGTGAAATGTTGGCCGAGGATAATTAATTTGACAGGAGCACGGACTAAAATACCTCAAAATCTGTGCATATTATTTTTGAACATACAATTATGGTAATATTTAACATAATATTAAATACGACTTGTGAAATTTATAATTGCGGATTGAAGATTTTTAGTGATATAACTATTATCAAATAATACTAAATTCACATTTATTCGCCCCATTCTAATTCTCATTTAATAATTTTTCTAAAAACCGAGCTACCCACTTCACTGAGCTGGAATTCCATGAAGACAAGCGTTGACCGGGAATGGCTGGCGGAGGACGCATTGACCTGAGGCAAGGTGAAGGACAGCTGGCGAGAAATTAAGAAAGAAAATTTTTAATTTGTTTTTTTGTAGGTTAATGGGAAGAAGAATCCGGGGAATTAATTACGTTTCCGGAGAAATTAATCTTATTTATTATCTCTGCGCGGGTAGAAATGAAAGGGGTTGGGCCGGGAGAGGAAAAGTACGGGGGACAGAGATATATTTTCTCACATGACGAAGGTACCCCTAATTTTGGGTGGCAATCACGGGATAAGCCCCCCGGGATTAAGGCTTCGGGCCGTCAGTAAATCCTGTTAAGTTTAAGGGTATATGGGAGAACAAGATTTAGTGCTATTTTTTTTTTCTTCTCTTATGAGTATTGTCTGTTTTTGGTATATTTGTTATGATGAAAGTTGCTGATTTTATGCAAGAATCAGTGTAATTAATAAATATTGTAGGTCCAGCGCTTTTTTGCCATTTGTTGTTATAATTTATTTTTTACATTTGACCAAATTTATTGCACATTTGCCCTTATTATTATGTAAATAAAATCGATTTTAAGGAAAAAAAAAAAAAAACTCCAAAAAAAATAATTGCGTCGCAATCATTTGTCCCAAGAGCAGGTCCTGACCATCATCCTTTCAACAAACGTCAGGTCGTGTGGCCTTGACGGGCACAGTTGGTTAAAAAAAATTAGATTTACAGATAAAAATGACGCAACAAGGTTTTCTACATAGGTTTGCCAACTGCATTTAAATGCTCCAATACAATAAAAAATTATGTTAATTGTATTTCAATGTCTACTTTGGATTTAAATGCTCCAATACAATAAAAAATTATGTTAACTGTATTTCAATGTCTACTTTGGAAAAAAAAAAAATAGTTTTATATTAAATATTTTATATTTTTTTGGAAATTATTTTAATAATTAATTTTTTATGTATATTTATAGACTGGATGGCTCATATTTTGTAGAATAAATACCATATAAATTGATAAGTATAAGAACCCGTAATGCATAAGTCTTTCAGATCAGAATTTGAAGTGAATATTCTCCCTTTTTTTTTTTTTTTCTTTCATCTCTCTCACTCTATTAGAATAGTGAAATTGTGACCTTTTTGATTTATGAGTCGCAGCAGTAAAGTCATGAATTATCGTAATAATGTTGCACGAAAACTTAACACATATTTTGGTGAAATAAAATAACTAGTAATGACACTAAATTTTTTATGTGGAAAAACTCGTAAAGAAAAAAAAATCAAGTGGTCTGGCCCGATTGTAAAAAATTATTATATGTTACAAAAACTCCTTGTCCTGCAGACGAGAAAGAGTTGCTAGATTTTCTAAGTTACAATATTGACTGACAGTGTCTCATTGGCGGTGGTCAACGACACTTAGTGGTAATCGAATGTGGTTAGTAGTGGTTGACGATGGTCGGTAGTGGTTAACAACGATAGGAGTGCTCGACGGTGGTTGTTGGTTGTCAACGATAATCAGCAGTGGTCGACTAAAGTCAGTGATGGTCTACGATGATCAATGGGGGTCGACGGCGATCGACGGTAGTTGACGGCTGCCCGCGGCGATCGACGATGGTAGGGATGGTGCTGAACTTCAACTTATTCTAAAAGCCTTAAGTTCTCTCTCAAGTCTCAAATTCTCCTCTTATGAGA